TAGAGGAAGGTAAGGGAAGGTGGGGTAAGGGAAGGTAAGGGAGGAGGGGTAAGGGAAGGTAAGGGAGGAGGGGTAGGGGAAGGTAAGGGAGGAGGGGTAGGGGAAGGTAAGGGAGGAGGGGTAGGGGAAGGTAAGGGAGGAGGGGTAGAGGAAGGTAAGGGAGGTGGGGTAGAGGAAGGTAAGGGAGGTGGGGTAGAGGAAGGTAAGGGAGGTGGGGTAGAGGAAGGTAAGGGAGGTGGGGTAGAGGAAGGTAAGGGAGGTGGGGTAGGGGAAGGTAAGGGAGGTAGGGGTAGAGGAAGGTAAGGGAGGTAGGGGTAGAGGAAGGTAAGGGAGGTAGGGGTAGAGGAAGGTAAGGGAGGTGGGGTAGAGGAAGGTAAGGGAGGTGGGGTAGGGGAAGGTAAGGGAGGTGGGGTAGGGGAAGGTAAGGGAGGTGGGGTAGAGGAAGGTAAGGGAGGTGGGGTAGAGGAAGGTAAGGGAGGTGGGGTAGAGGAAGGTAAGGGAGGTAGGGGTAGAGGAAGGTAAGGGAGGTGGGGTAGGGGAAGGTAAGGGAGGTAGGGGTAGAGGAAGGTAAGGGAGGTAGGGTAGGGGAAGGTAAGGGAGGTGGGGTAGGGGAAGGTAAGGGAGGTGGGGTAGGGGAAGGTAAGGGAGGTAGGGGTAGAGGAAGGTAAGGGAGGTGAGGTAGGGGAAGGTAAGGGAGGTGGGGTAGAGGAAGGTAAGGGAGGTGGGGTAGGGGAAGGTAAGGGAGGAGGGGTAGAGGGAGGTAAGGGAGGTGGGGTAGAGGAAGGTAAGGGAGGTGGGGTAGGGGAAGGTAAGGGAGGAGGGGTAGAGGGAGGTGGGGTAGAGAAAGGTAAGGGAGGTAGGGGAGGTAGGGGTAGAGGGAGGTAAGGGAGGTGGGGTAGGGGAGGTAAGGGAGGAGGGGTAGAGGGAGGTAAGGGAGGTGGGGTAGAGGGAGGTAAGGGAGGTGGGGGTAGGGGAAGGTAAGGGAGGAGGGGTAGAGGGAGGTGGGGTAGAGAAAGGTAAGGGAGGTAGGGGAGGTAGGGGTAGAGGGCGGTAAGGGAGGTGGGGTAGGGGAAGGTAAGGGAGGTGGGGTAGGGAAGGTAAGGGAGGAGGGGTAGAGGGAGGTAAGGGAGGTGGGGGGTAGAGGGAGGTAAGGGAGGTGGGGTAGAGGGAGGTAAGGGAGGTGGGGTAGGGGAAGGTAAGGGAGGTGGGGTAGAGGGAGGTGGGGTAGAGAAAGGTAAGGGAGGTAGGGGAGGTAGGGGTAGAGGGAGGTAAGGGAGGTGGGGTAGGGGAAGGTAAGGGAGGTGGGGTAGGGGAAGGTAAGGGAGGAGGGGTAGAGGGAGGTAAGGGAGGTGGGGTAGAGGAAGGTAAGGGAGGTGGGGTAGGGGAAGGTAAGGGAGGAGGGGTAGAGGGAGGTAGGGGTAGAGGGAGGTAAGGGAGGTAGGGGTAGAGGAAGGTAAGGGAGGTGGGGTAGAGGGAGGTAAGGGAGGTGGGGTAGAGGAAGGTATGGGAGGTGGGGTAGGGGAAGGTAAGGGAGGAGGGGTAGAGGGAGGTAAGGGAGGTAAGGGAGGTAGGGGTAGAGGAAGGTAAGGGAGGTGGGGTAGAGGGAGGTAAGGGAGGTGGGGTAGAGGAAGGTATGGGAGGTGGGGTAGAGGAAGGTAAGGGAGGTGGGGTAGAGGGAGGTAAGGGAGGTGGGGTAGAGAAGGTAAGGGAGGTGGGGTTAGAGGAAGGTAAGGGAGGTGGGGTAGGGGAAGGTAAGGGAGGTGGGGTAGAGGAAGGTAAGGGAGGTGGGATAGAGGAAGGTAAGGGAGGTGGGATAGAGGAAGGTAAGGGAGGTAGGGGTAGAGGAAGGTAAGGGAGGTAGGGGTAGAGGAAGGTAAGGGAGGTAGGGGTAGAGGAAGGTAAGGGAGGTGGGGTAGGGGAAGGTAAGGGAGGTAGGGGTAGAGGAAGGTAAGGGAGGTGGGGTAGGGGAAGGTAAGGGAGGTGGGGTAGAGGAAGGTAAGGGAGGTGGGGTAGGGGAAGGTAAGGGAGGTGGGGTAGAGGAAGGTAAGGGAGGTGGGATAGAGGAAGGTAAGGGAGGTGGGATAGAGGAAGGTAAGGGAGGTGGGATAGAGGAAGGTAAGGGAGGTGGGATAGAGGAAGGTAAGGGAGGTAGGGGTAGAGGAAGGTAAGGGAGGTAGGGGTAGAGGAAGGTAAGGGAGGTGGGGTAGGGGAAGGTAATGGAGATCGGGTAGAAGGAGGAGGGGAAATGGGGGAAGGAAGGCAGGCATGTGGGGGGGGGGGGGGTAGGTGAGGGGCACACACCTGCACCCCACCATTTCCTGTCTCCTCACATGTGGTCCAACACTATCAACACACGTGTGTTCAAACACACCCGAGGTAACCTTGTACTAATTGCTCAGTGTCTGAATATATTATATAGACAATACATATATAATATATAAAAGGTGGCGCTCTGTAGGAGAGGTGCCGCCTGGCCGCTTCTGCTGCAGCACTCGCCGTCAGGGAGGGACCCTTCGGCAGGATATACACACGCCCGCTCCTGTGCCAGGTAAGTCCACTACGGGGTCACCATAGCCCGTGCTACTAGGAGGGTGTTCCGAGTAGCTGAATCTATAACAAGAACAACAGGCAGGATATATAGCGCACAGCTGCGGTTTACTGCATGGCCGCCCAAGTGAAGAGCCGCGCAGGAAATTGCCGCGGCGTTAGATTTCATCTTCTAGAGATGGGGGTGTTGACAGTGCGGATTGCAGTCCAAAGTTGCAATTGAAATGCAAATTTGTAATATTACTGGTGTTCACCGTGCAGGAGTCTGGTAACATGCACCACTGGTTCCTTGCCATCTTGAGGTTATCTTGAGATGATTTCGGGGCTTTAGTGTCCCCGCGGCCCGGTTCTCGACCAGGCCTCCACCCCCAGGATACAGTCCATGACAGCTGACTAACACCCAGGTACCGATTTTACTGCTAGGTAACAGGGGCATAGGGTGAAAGAAACTCTGCCCATTGTTTCTCGCCGGCACCTGGAATCGAACCCAGGACCACAGGATCACAAGTCCAACGTGCTGTCCGCTCGGCCGACCGGCTCCCTCTAAGGGTGGGCATGTTCACCTCGTCCTTTTCAACATTTTGACGTATAAATCTCCATCGTGTCAAAAAACGTGTGTACTACAAGTCACAGTGGCTCGCAGTGCAACCTGTTCTCTTGCAAATTACGTCCATTTTCGCCCATAGAGCGCATACCAGCGAAAAGCGACGTTATTTTTAAAGAGGACAAGTTGCGCATACTTGACTGTCTCGTTTTCTATTGGCGGGTCGTAGGGGATAGGATCGGTTGGAGCAATTTAGTACATCAGTTTGGTGACGTTGTGAACGCTGGAGAGGACGGGGTATCGGCCTACGGCTGGTGGAGCCATGGGACGAGTGCTGGCTGGCTGTATGCAACTTGCGGCAGAAATTTTGCTTTGTATCTGTCGGAAGTTTGTGGATCGTCCTGGTGGATTGTCGCGGTGGATCACATTACTGGAATATGAGCATCAGAAATTTTGTTCATTTCCCCGGCGTCTGTGAATAATGTTGAATGCAATTATAAGAAAATTCGTAGATTTGATTTTTTTCAAAACATTTACAGCAGTAGCCAAAAGCCAGTGGGAAAAATCGTCTTGAGGGTCAGCATGTGACCCTGACACGCTGTTCACCTCTTGAGTTCTGGCGACCCCCGACCAGCCTATGTCCGTCCTCTACCCCAGACCATTCCCCCTGCCAATTTGGGTGAGGCTCGCCCCAAGCGTTGACCTTCAACTTTGGACGGGCAGACAGACACTCAATCTCATATTTATATTTTTCCTGCCGCATCAAGGCAACTCTCGACCATCTCCAGGATGTAACCCATAATTATTATTCACCGTTAGGTGAACAGAGGCACCAGGTGAAAGAAAACACTGCCCAAATGCTTATGTCGTGCCGTGATGATCGACCCCCGAGGTTGAGCCGACGACGTAGCCTACTGTGTGGGGGGGGGAGGTAACTCCCTCCCTGGCACTCCTCCCTGGCACTGTGTGTGAGGGAGGGGGGGGGAGGGGGAGGTAACTCCCTCCCTGGCACTCCTCACTATAGCTTTAATATCCCTCATGTTGCCTCACACGTATTGACCAGCTCGGTGAGGAAGAGCATGGCCAGCGTGTGGCCACACAAGCTACATTCACCACCATCAGGCAGGTGTGTGGAGGACATGAGGCAGGTGTGTGTGTGTGGAGGACATGAGGCAGGTGTGTGGAGGACATGAGACAGGTGTGTGAAGGGGGGTGAATACACTGCACGCATCAGCGAGGAAATGGTGCATGTTCCACCTGAGGGAGAACAGGTGTAGGTGGGGTTGAGAACAGGTGTAGTCTGGCGGTAGGCAAGTGCTCACAGCTGTCTGAACAGGTGTATGTGTTACACCTGTCAGGCCAGCTGCATGGGTGAGCCCCCCCCCCCCCCCCCCCGACACTAAACACCACCACCACCACACAGAACAGACTGTAGCTACCATGAACGACTGCCTCGTGTCACCTCTACTCTGACAGCTGGACCATTTTGAACTCTGAATCCAAAATAAAATAAAATGAACATTTTTCATGCCGATACACAACGCGGCTCACCCCCCCCCATCATGGGGAACCCTCCCCACCCTTCCGTACCCATCATGGGGATCAACCTCCCCCCATCATGGGGAACAAACCCCCCCTTCCGTACCCATCATGGGGATCAACCTCCCCCCCATCATGGGGAACAAACCCCCTTCCGTACCCATCATGGGGATCAACCTCCCCCCATCATGGGGAACAAACCCCCCCTTCCCTACCCATCATGGGGAACAACCCCCCCCACCCTTCCGTACCCATCATGGGGATCACCCTCCCCCCCTTCCCTACCCATCATGGGGATCAACCTCCCCCCCATCATGGGGAACAAACCCCCCCCCTTCCCTACCCATCATGGGGATCAACCTCCCCCCCATCATGGGACCTCGGAGACGCTCTCGCAAGTCTCGTCAACCTCGGAGACGCTCTCGCAAGTCTCGTCAACCTCGGAGACGCTCTCGCAAGTCTCGTCAACCTCGGAGACGCTCTCGCAAGTCTCGTCAACCTCGGAGACGCTCTCGCAAGTCTCGTCAACCTCGGAGACGCTCTCGCAAGTCTCGTCAACCTCGGAGACGCTCTCGCAAGTCTCGTCAACCCGGAGACGCTCTCGCAAGTCTCGTCAACCCCGGAGACGCTCTCGCAAGTCTCGTCAACCCCGGAGACGCTCTCGCAAGTCTCGTCAACCCCGGAGACGCTCTCGCAAGTCTCGTCAACCCCGGAGACGCTCTCGCAAGTCTCGTCAACCCCGGAGACGCTCTCGCAAGTCTCGTCAACCCCGGAGACGCTCTCGCAAGTCTCGTCAACCCCGGAGACGCTCTCGCAAGTCTCGTCAACCCCGGAGACGCTCTCGCAAGTCTCGTCAACCCCGGAGACGCTCTCGCAAGTCTCGTCAACCCCGGAGACGCTCTCGCAAGTCTCGTCAACCACGGAGACGCTCTCGCAAGTCTCGTCAACCCCGGAGACGCTCTCGCAAGTCTCGTCAACCCCGGAGACGCTCTCGCAAGTCTCGTCAACCCCGGAGACGCTCTCGCAAGTCTCGTCAACCCCGGAGACGCTCTCGCAAGTCTCGTCAACCCCGGAGACGCTCTCGCAAGTCTCGTCAACATGCCCCTATCATCTTACACACCCACACCACTCAAGATACCAACTACATACACTCCCGTCTACTCCTCTCACCCTCTTCCCCCCCCCCACCCTCTACCTCTCTCTTCCCTCCCCCTCCATAAAAAAAAAACTCTTAAATGTAGTTTCCAAATTAAACCATTACCAGTTTTATCTGTTGGAAGTTGGTGGATGGTGCGGTAGGTGGGAGTACTGAACGTGTTTATGGTAGTACGGCGGAAATTTGAAAATCTGAACATTTCAGTTTATTTTCCCGAAATCTGTGAATAATGTAATGTTGCACATTATAAAAAAAATAACAGATTTGAATTTTTGTTTCAAATAAAATAGTTGTCCATCAACTTTGTATCCATGTGAGGGTTATCTTGAGATTCTTGAGATGATTTTGGGCTTTAGTGTCCCCGCGGCCCGGTCCTCGACCAGGCCTACACCCCCAGGAAGCAGCCCGTGACAGCGGACTAACACCCAGGTACCTATTTTACTGCTAGGTAACAGGGGCATAGGGTGAAAGAAACTCTGCCCATTGTTTCTCGCCGGCACCTGGAATCGAACCCAGGACCACAGGATCACAAGTCCAGCGTGCTGTCCGCTCGGCCGACCGGCTCCCTCTAAGGGTGGGCATGTTCACCTCGTCCTTTTCAACATTTTGACGTATAAATCTCCATCGTGTCAAAAACGTGTGTACTACAAGTCACAGTGGCTCGCAGTGCAACCTGTTCTCTTGCAAATTACGTCCATTTTCGCCCATAGAGCGCATACCAGCGAAAAGCGACGTAAAGAGGACAAGTTGCGCATACTTGACTGTCTCGTTTTCTATTGGCGGGTCGTAGGGGGTATGATCGGTTGGAGCAATTTAGTACATCAGTTTGGTGACGTTGTGAACGCTGGAGAGGGCGGGGTGTCGGCCTACGGCTGGTGGAGCCATGGGACGAGTGCTGGCTGGCTGTATGCAACTTGCGGCAGAAATTTTGCTATGTATCTGTCGGAAGTTTGTGGATCGTCCTGGTGGATTGTCGCGGTGGATCACATTACTGGAATATGAGCATCAGAAATTTTGTTCATTTCCCCGGCGTCTGTGAATAATGTTGAATGCAATTATAAGAAAATTTCGTAGATTTGATTTTTTTCAAAACATTTACAGCAGTAGCCAAAAGCCAGTGGGAGAAATCGTCTTGAGGGTCAGCATGTGACCCTGACACGCTGTTCACCTCTTGAGTTCTGGCGACCCCCGACCAGCCTATGTCCGTCCTCTACCCCAGACCATTCCCCCTGCCAATTTGGGTGAGGCTCGCCCCAAGCGTTTGACCTTCAACTTTGGACGGGCAGACAGACACTCAATCTCATATTTATATTTTTTCCTGCCGCATCAAGGCAACTCTCGACCATCTCCAGGATGTAACCCATAATTATTATTCACCGTTAGGTGAACAGAGGCACCAGGTGAAAGAAAACACTGCCCAAATGCTTATGTCGTGCCGTGATGATCGACCCCCGAGGTTGAGCCGACGACGTAGCCTACTGTGTGTGGGGGGGGGGAGGTAACTCCCTCCCTGGCACTCCTCCCTGGCACTGTGTGTGAGGGAGGGGGGGGGGGAGGGGGAGGTAACTCCCTCCCTGGCACTCCTCACTATAGCTTTAATATCCCTCATGTTGCCTCACACGTATTGACCAGCTCGGTGAGGAAGAGCATGGCCAGCGTGTGGCCACACAAGCTACATTCACCACCATCAGGCAGGTGTGTGGAGGACATGAGGCAGGTGTGTGTGTGTGGAGGACATGAGGCAGGTGTGTGGAGGACATGAGGCAGGTGTGTGAAGGGGGGAGTGAATACACTGCACGCATCAGCGAGGAAATGGTGCATGTTCCACCTGAGGGAGAACAGGTGTAGGTGGGGTTGAGAACAGGTGTAGTCTGGCGGTAGGCAAGTGCTCACAGCTGTCTGAACAGGTGTATGTGTTACACCTGTCAGGCCAGCTGCATGGGTGAGCCCCCCCCCCCCGACACTAAACAACACCACCACCACACAGAACAGACTGTAGCTACCATGAACGACTGCCTCGTGTCACCTCTACTCTGACAGCTGGACCATTTTGAACTCTGAATCCAAAATAAAATAAAATGAACATTTTTCATGCCGATACACAACGCGGCTCACCCCCCCCCATCATGGGGAACCCTCCCCCCCTTCCCTACCCATCATGGGGAACAACCATCTCCCCTTCCCTACCCATCATGGGGAACAACCATCTCCCCTTCCCTACCCATCATGGGGAACAACCATCCCCCCTTCCCTACCCATCATGGGGAACAACCATCCCCCCTTCCCTACCCATCATGGGATCAACCTCCCCCCATCATGGGGAACAACCCCCCCCCTTCCCTACCCATCATGGGGATCAACCTCCCCCCCCATCACGGGGAACAACCCCCCCCCCTTCCCTACCCATCATGGGGATCAACCTCCCCCCCATCATGGGGAACACCCCCCCCCCTTCCCTACCCATCATGGGGAACAAACCCCCCCTTCCCTACCCATCATGGGGATCAACCTCCCCCCATCAAGGGGAACAACCCCCCCCTTCCCTACCCATCATGGGAACACCCCCCCCCCCATCATGGGGAACAACCCATTGAGGTCCACCGTTCCGCCAGGAGCTGGGCAGCAACACTGAAACAACCAAACTATCTCTCCCGTTTAGATAGTACGTTCTGTAACTATGCGCACCATAGTACAAATATTGACGTACTAAGCAATTAGATAGTAGAATTTGGTACTCTTCACCTTATAGTCCGAAAAAATGAAACTAAAAACAAACTTAAATATTTCTAGGCCTAGTACAGCACACACACTAGTACTATAATAGGCCTCAGAGCGTGCATTAGGCCTAGGAAGGTTAGGTCAGTTTGACTTTGCAACATTAGTAGAAAATCGTTTTCCGGTTTCCTCCAAATTGAATAGTACCGATTTCTACTTTCCTAATTGCGTTGTATGTCGGTATATGTACTATGGTAGAGCCGGTCGACCGAGCGGACAGCACGCTCGACTTGTGACCCTGTGGTCCTGGGTTCGATCCCAGGCACCGGCGAGAAACAATGGGCAGAGTTCCTTTCACCCTATGCCCCTGTTACCTAGCAGTAAAATAGGTACCTGGGTGTTAGTCAGCTGTCACGGGTTGCTTCCTGGGGGTGGAGGCCTGGTCGAGGACCGGGCCGCGGGGACACTAAAAAGCCCCGAAATCATCTCAAGATAACCTCAAGATGGTCCTTATCGTCCCTGTAAGTACTATCAAACCAGGAGGATTGACTGGGCACAACGGCAGCAGCTTTCAAGAGACAATTGGACAATGTTCTGGTGCTCGACAAGTGATCACTGAGCCCGAGCCCGAGCCCGAGCCCTGGCCTAAACCCGGGCTTGGGAAGAACAACTCCCAAAACCCTCTCCAGGTATGTTCCAGGCATCTTGAGGTTATCTTGAGATGATTTCGGGGCTTTTTAGTGTCCCCGCGGCCCGGTCCTCGACCAGGCCTCCACCCCCAGGAAGCAACCCGTGACAGCTGACTAACACCCAGGTACCTATTTTACTGCTAGGTAACAGGGGCATACGGTGAAAGGAACTCTGCCCATTGTTTCTCGCCGGTGCCTGGGATCGAACCCAGGACCAAAGGGTCACAAATCCAGCGTGGTGTCCGCTCGGCCGACCGGCTCCCCTGCATAGTGATAGTTCCGGACCAGCCCGACTGTGGTGGCAGCGTGGACATCCTGGCTACAAACACAGATTACCCAGCCCAAATGATCACCGGGGGAGACTGGCTAGGCTGCGGGGGGGGGGGGAGAACAACTCTCGAAATTACCAACAGGTAAAACACCAACTCTAAATGTAAGACGCATAACTTACACACACACGGTTGGTTGATGACACCACTTTTTCAGTGTCAGAGTAGTTAGTAAACGGAATGCATTAGGCAGTGATGTGATGGAGGCTGACTCCATACACAGTTTCAGTTGTAGATATGACTGAGCCCAATAGGCTCAGGAACCTGTACACCAGTTGATTGACAGTTGAGCGGCGGGACCACAGAGCCAGAGCTCAACCCCTACATACACAAATAGGTGAGTACACGCCCCATATTTCTCATCTCCTGAACCTGGCCACAATGGCGGCGGCGACCATGCCAGGAGGGCGGGAAGCCCAGAGCGGGTCTGCTCAAAACCTTAAAGATATAACACGAGGGTGAAGGAGTGAGTTACGTGTGGCAGAGTACTCACCTAGTTGTGCTTGCAGGGGTTGACCTCTGGCTCTTTGGTCACTCACTTTGGAGAGTGAGTGTGCGTGCGTGTGCGTGTGTGTGTGTGTGTGTTTCCGGGTGTGTGTTTCCGGGTGTGGGAGGACAGGGAGCGGGGGGGGGGTGAGGGCAGGTTTGGTTCATTACCTACGCCATATTGACGCCATTAACGCCCCGGGAGGGGAATTTACGCTCACCCCCCCCCCCCAAGATCCCTATCCAGTCCCCTCCCTCACATTTCCCCTCATACTTTAGACACACTTATTCCCCCCCCCCCCCCCAACTCCATCGTCCATCACCCTACCTATTCCACCCTTCACTCCCCCCCCCCTCCCCCTCAAGGGTAAAGAGAGGGGAGGGTGCTGAGAGAGAGGGGAAGGAGAGGTGGACAGGGATAGGTAAGGGCGCATGTAAAGGAGCATTGAGGACGCGGCGGATTACGGGATCACCATAGCCCGTGCTATATGGACACTTCGTTCTGCGTAGCTAAATCTAAAAACAATTACAACGTGGCGGAGAATGGATGGTTTGGTCATAAGACGCATAACTGCCCGACCTCTAACCACCTCCAAAGGATACCTGATCAACCATGGGAGCCGGTCGGCCGAGCGGACAGCACGCTGGACTTGTGATCCTGGGTTCTATCCCAGGCGCCGGCGAGAAACAATGGGCAGAGTTTCTTTCACCCTATGCCCCTGTTACCTAGCAGTAAATAGGTACCTGGGTGTTAGTCAGCTGTCACGGGCTGCTTCCTGGGGAAGGAGGCCTGGTCGAGGACCGGGCCGCGGGGACACTAAAGCCCCGAAATCATATCCAGATAACCTCCAGATAACCAGGCTGTGACTCCTACGTCAGGCTGCGAGCAGCCGCGTCCAACAGCCTGGTTGATTAGTCCAGCAACCAGGAGAGCTGGTCGACGACCGGGCCGTGGGGACGCTAAGCCCCGAAATTATCTCAAGGTATGGGTAATAAGACTTTCAGACTTCCCACTTTCCTTTGAGTCTATCCAGATAGTCATTGTCAGTCATTGTAGTCATTTATTATGCCCCCCATCCCCTGGGCCGTGATGGGAAGGGTTGGAGATACATGATGGGAAGGTGTTCCCTCTCCCCCTTACTTTACTCTATCACTATACTGTAACTCATTGTGTAATACATTGTATGGTGGTCACACACAGAGATCACACTAACGTGATGCATCAAATGAACAAATCCACAAGGGCCGTGACGAGGATTCGAACCTGCGTCCGGGAGCATCCCAGACACTGCCTTAATCGACTGAGCTACGACAGTAAGTTCAGTAGAACTTCGGTTTCAACCCTTTTAACCCTGTCGTAGCTCAGTCGATTAAGGCAGTGTCTGGGATGCTCCCGGACGCAGGTTCGAATCCTCGTCACGGCCCTTGTGGATTTGTTCTATAGTATGGTGGTCAATAGTGACCGTTACACAGAGTACAGACACAAGTCTTCAGCACCAGGTTGTGAGGCCGGGTGTGCCAGCGGGCCATATCCGGCCACACAGCTCGGCTATGGCCAGCTGGCGTCATAAGACGGGTTATTTGGCCGGCTGGAAAGGAAGGCGACTTGGTGACGTGTTTCCTGTTGCGCAGGCCCGAGGGGAGGAGGGAGGGGGGGGGGCAGAGTGAGGGGAGACTAAAGAGGGGTGAAGGGGGCCAGGAAGTACCCCATCATCTGGGCCTGCCTGAGGGGAAGGGTACAAGGGTGTTGGGGGGGGGCCGGGGGGAAGGCATGCACAGTGTGCCTAAAGGTACACAGGGAGGGGGTGACGGAGCCGGGAGGGTGGCTATGGTGAGGCCGGAAATGACTGTACCAGGCAGGATGGTGCCATACTGGACAAACACCTCACTGGGTTGGGTTTATTGCCTCTCACACCTTAAACATTCCCTCCGCCGGCCAGTCAGCCACTCGGCCAGCCAATCTCTCGGCCAGTCAGCCGGCCAGTCAGCCAGCCAGCCAGCCAGCCAGCCAGCCAGCCAGCCAGCCAGCCAGCCAGCCAGCCAGTCAGCCAGCCAGCCGGCCAGCCTGTCAATCATAAAATGCTAAGAAGACTTACTAAAATATGTTTATAATGGCATTACAAGCACCACCAAACACAGTCACGGCCACCAGCGCCAGACGCCCACACATGAGTGCCAGTGGCATTTCCTGGCACTCCCGTGACGGGAATTCCACTGAGAAGGTGCGAGGAGGGTGAAGGGGGGGGGGAGTGGGCGGTCAACATGATTAATAATAATAATAAAACATTTACAAAGGCTCAGATTACAAAGGCTCAGATTACAAAGGCTCAGATTACAAAGGCTCAGATTACAAAGGCTCAGATTACAAAGGCTATCTACCAGGTACAATCCTACTAGGCACAAGAGGCCTGACAGCTCAGTGGATAGCGCTTCGGATTCGAAGTCCTGAGGTTCCGGGTTCGATCCCCGGCGTAGGCGGAAACGAATGAGTTGAGTTTCTTTCACCCTGATGCACCTAGCAGTAAATAGGTACCTGGGAGTTAGACAGCTGCTATGGGCTGCTTCCTGGGGATGTGTGACAAAAAGGAGACCTGGACGAGGACCGGGCCGCGGGGACACTAAGCCCCGAAATCACCTCAAGATAACCTTGGCAAATATATCGCGATATAAAGAATACTATAACTATTCTTATATACAAAAATTACCTTCGCCTTCCAATCTTTATATATAAATGATGTATTTTAGTGTTGAAGCCAAATAGTGAAGTCAAGTGTGGGTTGGAGGGGGGAGTGTTGGGGAAGGGGGGGGATAGGGGGGTTGTGGGGTAGGGTGTGTGGGGGGGAGGGATTTACCCTGGTGGTGGGGATTTAGGGAGAGCATGGTTGGTGAGCGGGTTACAACCCGGCCTCCTAATAGCGCGTCGCGTTTTGACGCATACTCAAGGGCCAAAAATCGTCTTACTAGAAAATGGTTGCGAAATTTACATTGTCCCGTTTTCTGTTTTTGGCTCCGCTGGTAGGCTAAGACAAGGGCACTTTAGGACGACTGTTTCTTGACGTTGGGAAACTTTAGGAGGACGGGGCTGTGGTGGGAGTAGTTAGGATGGGAGTTTGGTTGTTGGGTAAGGGTGTAGGGTGAGAGTGTAGGGTGAGAGTGTAGGGTGAGGGTGTAGGGTGAGGGTGTAGGGTGAGGGTGTAGGGTGAGGGTGTAGGGTGAGGGTGTAGGGTGAGGGTGTAGGGTGAGGGTTAGGGTGAGGGTGTAGGGTGAGGGTGTAGGGTGAGGGTGTAGGGTGAGGGTGTAGGGTGAGGGTGTAGGGTGCATGTACGGTGGTGGTGATGTGGTGGGTGCCACCTCCCCCACCTCTGATGGTTGAGGGGTGACCGTCGCTGTGTTGAATGGGGGGGAGAGGGAAGGTGGGGGAGAGGGGAGGTGGGTGTAATGGTATGTCAGTCCGACCCTCTGGTCATCCTCCCCTTTCCCTGCGGGCAGTTCCCCTTCTTACCAGAGTCAAATTTCCCCTTAGGCAGGTGGTCAAGTCACTTATTCCTCATTCCCTGTCCCCAATCTTTCCAAATCATTTGTCTGCCAGTCATTTCCAATCCCCTTTTTCCAATCCATTTTCCCTCTCTTCCCGCCTTCGCCACTAACCATTTGACAAATTTAGGAACAGTGACGAATTACCGTAATTCTCAAGTTTTGAGTGAGGGAGCTGGGAACCATACGACCGTTTGGGTTTCCTGTTGTAGCGTGGGAACGGTTCATGATCCTACGGGAGTAAAACAGAACTTTCAGAACAGGCCTATGTCCAAGGAGCCTAAGGGGGGGGGGGGGGGGGGGGGAGCTAAGTCAGAGTTTTGGCTGGTTTTGTTAAACCAAACTTAGGGTTTTGGCCTAAGAGTGACACTCTTAGTGTTAGAACTGAGTGTTCATTGGTTGAGCTTTGAGAAGCATAGAGTCCCTCAGGGTGGGAGTCGGTCGGCCGAGCGGACAGCACGCTGGACTTGTGATCCTGTGGTCCCGGGTTCGATCCCAGGCGCCGGCGAGAAACAATGGGCAGAGTTTCTTTCACCCTATGCCCCTGTTACCTAGCAGTAAAATAGGTACCTGGGTGTTAGTCAGCTGTCACGGGCTACTTCCTGGGGTGGAGGCCTGGTCGAGGACCGGCCGCGGGACACTAAAGCCCCGAAATCATCTCAAGATAACCTCAAGAAGAAGAAGGGTAGTGCCTTGGCACCCATTGGCCCAGCCTCAGTATATTCCGGCTTTGCTTTGAATTGATTGGTGCTCCTAGCCAGAGCCAAGCTCCAGAGGAAAATTATAGGTCTCCCAGGGGTAGTTTAAGAGAATTGGAGTTAATGTGTCTTGGAGTTTAGGTCCCCTTAGGGGCCCCGTAGCCTGGTGGATAGCGCGCAGGACTCGTAATTCTGTGGCGCGGGTTCGATTCCCGCACGAGGCAGAAACAAATGGGCAAAGTTTCTTTCACCCTGAATGCCCCTGTTACCTAGCAGCAAATAGGTACCTGGGAGTTAGTCAGCTGTCACGGGCTGCTTCCTGGGGGTGGAGGCCTGGTCGAGGACCGGACCGCGGGGACACTAAAAGCCCCGAAATCATCTCAAGATAACCTCAAGATAACCCTTGACCTGTGGGAGGCAAGCCGTCAACATCTTGGCCTCAGTACGGTTTTTAAGGTAATGTGCACTTGAGTATTCATGTCCTCAGTAGATATCCATTTTGCCTCTTTAGGGATAATAGAGTAGGATATATGTTCAATTTGATTTTAATTTACATGTTCAATAATAATAATAAAGGGTGTAATTGTCCAGTGGTATGCAGTTAATTCCCCTTTTTGATATATTTTTCTACTGTGCCATTTATATGTGTTGACTTGGAAAGTTCCCGTCTTCCCCTCCATCTTGTGAATATTAAAGTCGCTCTTGAATCTCCCTTTCAGTTCACTAAGATTACAGTATTAATCCTTTAAGATTCATTTATTTGACCCCTTTGAGTTCCATGATTATTGAGGGGTCATTGTTCCCAGGGGCTCTCCCCTGGGGGTGAGGCGCCGGGCCTCGTCTACGGGTATTGCAGTTGTTTGCCTCCCTCCCTACACCCTCCCCACACTCTCCCCACACCCTCCCCACACTCTCCCCACACCCTCCCTCCCCACTCTCCCCCCATACCCTCCCTCCCCACACTCTCCCCCTCCACACCCTCCCCACACTCTCCCCACACCCTCCCCACACTCTCCCCACACCCTCCCTCCCCACTCTCTCCCCCCATACCCTCCCCACACCCTCCCTCCCCACACCCTCCCTCCCCACTCCCTCCCTCCCCACTCTCCCCCCATACCCTCCCTCCCCACACTCTCCCCACACCCTCCCCACACCCTCCCTCCCCACACTCTCCCTCCCCACACTCTCCCCTCCCCACACCCTCCCTCCCCACACCCTCCCCACTCTCCCCCCACACCCTCCCCCCATACCCTCCCCACACCCTCCCTCCCCACACCCTCCCTCCCCACTCCCCCCCATACCCACTCCCCACACCCTCCCTCCCCACACTCTCCCCACACCCTCCCCACACTCTCCCCACACCCTCCCTCCCCACTCTCCCCCCATACCCTCCCTCCCCACACTCTCCCCACACCCTCCCACACTCTCCCCACACCCTCCCTCCCCACTCTCCCCCCATACCCTCCCCACACCCTCCCTCCCTACACCCTCCCCACACTCTCCCCACACCCTCCCTCCCCACTCTCACCCCATACCCTCCCCACACCCTCCCTCCCCACACTCTCCCCACACCCTCCCCACATTCTCCCCACACCCTCCCTCCCCACTCTCCCCACACACCCTCCCTCCCCACTCTCTCCCCACACTCCCTCCCCACACTCCCTCCCCACACCCTCCCTCCCCACACTCTCCCACACACCCCCCACACTCTCCCCCACCCTCCCTCCCCCCACACTCTCCCCACCCTCCCCACACTCTCCCCACACCCTCCCCACACTCTCCCCCACACCCTCCCCACACTCTCCCCATACCCTCCCTCCCCACACCCTCCCTCCCCACACCCTCCCCACACTCTCCCCACACCCTCCCCCACACTCTCCCCACACTCTCCCCACACCCTCCCCACACCCTCCCCACACACCCTCCCCACACTCTCCCCACACCCTCCCCACACTCTCCCCACTCTCTCCCCCACACCCTCCCTCCCCACACCCTCCCCACACCCTCCCTCCCCACACTCTCCCCACACCCTCCCTCCCCACACTCTCCCCACACCCTCCCCACACCCTCCCTCCCCACACTCTCCCCCACACTCTCCCCACACCCTCCCCACACTCTCCCACACCCTCCCCACACCCTCCCCACACTCTCCCCCACACCCTCCCCACACCCCACTCTCTCCCCACACTCTCCCCACACTCTCCCCACACCCTCCCCACACCCTCCCCCACACCCTCCCCACACTCTCCCCACACCCTACCTTGAGGCTACCTTGAGGTGCTTCCGGGGCTCAGTGTCCCCGCGGCCCGGTCGTCGACCAGGCCTCCTGGTTGCTGGACTGATCAACCAGGCTGTTAGACGCGGCTGCTCGCAGCCTGACGTATGAGTCACAGCCTGGTTGATCAGGTATCCTTTGGAGGTGCTTATCCAGTTCTCTCTTAAACACTGTGAGGGGTCGGCCAGTTATGTCCCTTATGTGTAGTGGAAGCGTGTTGAACAGTCTCGGGCCTCTGATGTTGATAGAGTTCTCTCTCAGAGTACCTGTTGCACCTCTGCTTTTCAACGGGGGTATTCTGCACATCCTGCCATGTCTTCTGGTCTCATGTGGTGTTATTTCTGTGTGCAGGTTTGGGACCAGCCCCTCAATTATTTTCCACGTGTAAATTATTATGTATCTCTCCCGCCTGCGCTCAAGGGAGTACAGATTTAGGCTCTTTAGTTGGTCCCAGTAATTTAGATGTTTTACTGAGTGGATTCTAGCAGTAAAGGATCTCTGCACGCTCTCTAGGTCAGCAATTTCTCCAGCTTTGAAAGGGGCTGTCATTGTGCAGCAGTACTCCACTCTAGAGAGCACAAGCGTTTTGAAAAGTATCATCATCGGTATAGCATCTCTAGTGTGAAAAGTTCTTGTTATCCAACCTGTCATTTTTCTTGCAGTTGCGACGGCTACTTTATTGTGTTCTTTAAAGGTAAGGTCTTCCGACATGAGTACACCCAGGTCCTTTACATTGCCTTTTCGTTCTATGTTATGATTTGCCTGCGTTTTGTACGTGGTTTCTGTTTTTATATTTTCAATTTTTCCGTAGCGCATGAGCTGAAACTTATCCTCGTTGAATACCATATTATTTTCTGTAGCCCATAGAAAGACCTGATCTACATCTGATTGGAGGTTTGCCGTGTCCTCTATGTTGCCAACTCTCAAGAAAATCCTAGTGTCATCTGCAAAGGATGATACAGTGCTATAGGTTGTGTTCTGGTCTATGTCCGATATGAGGATGAGAAAAAGTACTGGAGCAAGCACAGTACCCTGGGGGACTGAGCTCTTCACGGTTGATGAGCTGGATTTTATTTTGTTGACTATTACACATTGGGTTCTGTCAGTTAGGAAATTGTAGATCCATCTGCCTATTTTCCCGGCAATTCCTTTTGAACGCATTTCATGTGCAATAACACCATGGTCACATTTATCAAAAGCTTTTGCGAAATCTGTGTAAATTACATCAGCGTTTTGTTTGTCTTCCATAGCATCTAATGCCATATCATAGTGGTCCAGCAACTGCGACAGGCAAGAGCGCCCTGTTCTGAAACCATGTTGTCCGGGGTTATGGAGATGCTGTGATTCCATGTATTTTGTGATCTTACTTCTTAGCACTCTCTCAAAAATTTTTATGATGTGCGATGTTAGTGCTATCGGTCTGTAATTTTTTGCCTCTGCCTTATTTCCTCCTTTATGGAGTGGTGCTTTCTCTGCTGTTTTTAGTATGTCAGGGATAACGCCAGTATCTAGACTTTGTCTCCACAGAATGTGAAGGGCCTGCGATAGTGTTTTTTTACAGTTCTTGATGAATATGGAGTTCCAAGAATCCGGGCCTGGTGCAGAGTGCATAGGCATACTGTTTATGGCTTCTTCAAAATCTAGTGGGGATAGGGCGACGTCTGATATGTGATTTGATGTTGGTATCATATCCATGAAAAATTCATTTGGGTTATCAATCTTTAGTGCATTTAATGGCTCACTGAAAACAGAGTCGTACTGCTTCCTCAGTAACTCGCTCATTTCTTTGTTGTCATCTGTGAAAGTTCCATCTCCCTTTCGCAGGGGCCCGATACTAGATGTGGTTTTTGATCTTGATTTTGCATAGGAGAAAAAATATTTCGGATTTCTCTCTATTTCACTGATGGCCTTTTGCTCTCTTTGCCTCTCCTGGGTTTTGTATGATTCTTGTAGCTTGAGTTCAATTGTTTCTATTTCTCTACCTAACCTTCTTCGCCGTTCTTGAGATAGGGTGCGACTCTCAAGTTGTTCCGCGATTCGTTTTCTTCGCCTATATAGGGAACGACGTTCCCGTTCCAATCTGCATCTCTTTCTCTTTTTTCTTAGGGGTATGCGGTTTGAACATATTTCTAGTGCTACTGAGCTTATTTTTTCCAGGCACTGGTTCAGGTTTGCATTTCCTAGCTGTTCTTCCCAGTTTATTTCTGTGAAGTCCTGGTTTATTTGCTCCCAGTTTATCCGTTTATTATTGAAGTTGAA